TGCCTATAATGGTAATTTGCAGGTTTATCCAAATAGTTTCCCATCTGATTTTCCTTCCCCATTTATAACGGTACTGAGCATCAATATTTGTTAGATTCATTTTTTTTATATACGCCTTTATCACGTTTATCTATATCATCGTAGGCGTCCCTCAAAGTTTTGATCCTCCATCTTCTGTCGAGGTACATCTCTTTACACAATCAACTTTTTCTTTTCGTTCCTTATAATCATCTTAGTCTGTTTCTTCATTACCACTCCAATCTCTTCTATTCCCCTCTTTGCTCGCAATTCCCTTCAAGTACGTCCATCTAGTCATCTTTATCTCGGTTCTTTCCAATCTACTTTATGTACCACTTTCTTGCCCATGATATTAAATATCAAATATTTTAAAATTATAGTTTTAACTTAATATTGTTGGAAAAAAAATATATTTATTAGCTTATTACAACTTAAATTTTGTTTTTCAATTACAAAATTTAACAAATATATATCCATAAGAGGGCGTTAAATGCATAAATATGAAAATATATTCTTAGGAAACCAGAATAATTATTGGATAGCGCTTTTGTATTTTTCGGTGTAAATACATGTGAAAAACCTAAAATTTTTTAAAAAATATAGGTTTCTTTGACATTTAATTAATGAGTATGTTTAGAATCGAAAAATAGTAGAAAATTTGTAAGGAACATATTGCTGGCGTTATTGATCAAAATCCCTTTATTTTTGGTTTATACGTGTATAGTTAGGTGTTAAGCAATATTCTAAAAAAAATTTTGAAAATATTATGATTTAACCGAATGGTGAGCTCAAAACCGACCACTTACTAAATATTTGATGGATCAAATTTGATAGTAATATTATTTGGAATGTTTATTTTTGGTCTATTTATCTAGAAATGCATGTAAAACATTATCCCAAAAAATATTTTAAAAATATCGTGATTTGACCGATAACACTTTAAAATCGAAATACTGCATTGCTGGCGTTATACATGGAAAATTCTTCATTTTTGGTTTATACGTTTTAAATTCCAAAGAGTGACTGGGCGTGAACATAAATTTCCCGTGAATCACGGAAATTTTAATTTTTTAAATTGTTTTTTTATAAATATAAACTTGCAATTTTATAATTATATTATATATTTTCTTATTTAATTTAGTTCTTTTTTAAAAAAGAATAATTAATGAAAACTTAAAATCTTCCGCATTTTATAAACAACATCCGGTATCATTTAGTTAGTTCTATTTTCTTTTTATGTTTAGGGGTGTTTTTTGTCGCGAGACTTTATGCTAAACTTTGCTTAAACTTTTTACAGAAAAGTAAGTTATATATTATTTATAAAGATCTTCAATCTTTAAATGCGTCAGAAAGTGAAGGATTTTACAAGCTAGGCCAAGAGATAAATGTTGGTGTTACATAGGGATAACAAAATATAAAAGTTGTGAACCGGAAAAATCTCATGAATACTATAGGTCCAAAAATATACCATGAAATAAAATTTAAAATTAAAAGCATGATCAATAATAATTACTTGTCCATAATCACTGATATTTGGACGGATGACTATAAAAATCTAAGTTTTTTAACCATTATAGGACATATTATCATTAAGGATTTTAAATTAAAAACATTTGTTTTGGCCACAAGGGCAATGGATGAAAAAAATGTCAAAATATAAGTGTAATCAATTCAATTTTATGAAAATATACAGAAGTAAAAAATACTTAAATAAATGTGTTGTGAGTGATAGAAGCAAATCTTATAAGTGCATTCAAAGATGACGAAATGCTTGCATGTATATGCCATATACTAAATAATATTATGCATTATACTTTTGACAATTGTTTAACTGAAATAGCCATAAATAAAAATGGTGTAAAAATAATAGTACAATATTTCAAACAATCTACAGCTAATAGCAAACTAAGCCATACCCTTAAACAATATGTAATACGAGAATAACGAGATGGAACTCTGTATATATCATGATACAGAGTTTCTTTAAATCATATTCTGAAATACAGGTGTACTTGTTTAGCAAGCAAGAATTAAATAATTAGCCACAATTGATATCAGCATCATACGCAAGTTAGATAAATTTTTATCAATATTTAAAGAATGCTCGGATAATCTGAGAGCAGATTCTCGTCCCACAATAAATGAAGTTTGTCTATGGAAACAAAAATTAATAAAATTTTGTTAACCTTCTGAATGTGATACAATAATAATCAAAACCTTAAAATACAGAACAAGATTTCTTTTAAAAGATTATTATGCAGACACTACATAAGGTGGGCTTAATTCTAGATCCGAATTTCAAAAGACTTAAGTTTTTAATAAAAGAAGAAAATTATATATATAAAACAATCTTAAAAATGAATTAGATGATATGCATAAATCAATGCCAACTATCATTTATAACTTTCCTAACTTATCCTAAACTCATAAAAAACCGTATATTCTAAATGGTCAATACCAACTATCACTTTCCTAATTTATTTCACACTCATAAAAGATCGTTTATTCTAAAATAAAAAATTTAGAGAATTTCTAGATGATTCTGATGAACCATCAACATCACCGATGAAAGCTGTGAGGATGAACTTAAAAGATTCATATAAGATTAATAACAAGACAATATTTTAAAGTTTCGGAAGCAGGAATATTCATTTCTTTTTATGAGAAAATTATCGAAGTAAAATTTTGTCAGCTGCAAGTTGAACTTCTAGTGAAGGGTTATTTTCTGCAGCCAATCTCTTATTAGCAGAAAGACGGGCACAATTGAAATAAAAAAAGATGGACATTCTTCTTTTTTTGATTGACACCTTAAGCGGGCGGGGTGAATGAAAAATTATGCCCGCGCCCATCTCTAATAAAAAATCTATTAACGAATCGCCTAAATTTATACCTATAAAATCTAATTTAAATTTCGGTTTCCAATCGGTTATCGGTCAAATCACGATATTTTTAAAAAAAATTTTTTGGGATAATGATTTACACGTATATATAGATAAGTAAACCAAAAAATGATCATTTTCCAAATAATATAAATACAAAATTTGGTCGATCGAATATTTAATAAGTGGTCGGTTTTGAGCTCGGCATTCGGTCAAATCATAATATTTTTAAAAAATAATTTAGGATAATGCTTAACACCTTATTGTTCGCGTATAAACCAAGAATAAAAAATTTTCCATGGATAACGCCACCAATGCAGTATTTAGTCATTGGGCCGGTTTCAAATCGGTTATCTGTCAAATCACGATACTTTTTAAATATTTTTGAGATAATGATTTTCACGTATATATAGATAAATAAACCAAAAATGATCATTTTCCAAATAATATTAATACCAAATTTGGTCAATCGGATATTTAGTAAGTGGTCGGTTTGCTCGGCATTCGGTCAAATCATAATATTTTTAAAAAATAATTTAGGATAATGCTTAACACCTAACTATACACGTATAAACCAAAAATGAAGGGATTTTTATCAATAACGCCAGCAATATGTTCCTTACAAATTTTCTACTATTTTTCGATTCTAAACCTACTCATTAATTAAATGTCAAAGAAACCTATATTTTTAAAAATTTTTTTAGGTTTTTCACATGTATTTTACACCCAAATACAAAATAAAAGCGCTATCCAATAATTATTCTGGTTTCCTAAAAAATGTATTTTCATATATATGCATTTAACGCCCTCTTAAGGATATATATTTGTTAAATTTTGTAATTGAAAAAAAAAATTTAAGTTGTAATACATAAAAATTTATATATATTCCACTCTTAAATTTGTCCACTACTCATCATTAATGAGTGTTCAAATTTTTATTTTTTTTATCTTATCTTACTGGTGACTAATCTTTGATCCTTTCATATTCACTGTTCAACTAATTTTACCTTGTGAATATCTTTAAGAACATTTTAAAATGCTTGTTTTTAAAGATCGAAATTATTTGTTCCCAATACACGTTTCTTAATGGAAAAACGGAATAATTTACCATAAAAATGGCTATTGTTAAATTATATCAATATATTTCATTATATAATTTTTTTTCCCTAGTTAAATTAAAATTAGAAGGCGAAGTTAGCCTACCCTATAATATCAACCTTTAATCCTACACCATTTTTTCTTATTTCAGGGATTTTTAAATTTTAAGTATTGTAAGAAATATAAATGAATACATTTATACAAATTTATTTATTCCAATTAAAAGATATTCATAAATAAGCACCATCTCGTCACTGATCAAAAAAAATTGATAGCGGCGTCGGCTGGGAGTTGCTTATGTGGCGTGAAATGTTTGAAAAGAACGTCGACAGAGTTACGCACAGGTTTTGCTAAATTTAAGGTTATATAAATTATAAAATAGGTAATTGCTTTTATAACGATTGATTACCGAACATGAGGATGGCCAAATAATATGTTGACAATTAATCCATAGTTTTTAAATTTTTTATACGAGAAACAGGGCTGCTACCAGGTGTCTACGACATTTACTAGTATATTAGCACAATTTTTCTAAAATTTCAAAATTTACATCATTCCAACTGACACAATTCTTCCACATTTTGGTGAATTTTTATAATATGACACAAAAATTTCCATATAATCTTGACTTTAGAGCTATCCTTGATGATTAGTAATAAGAAAAAGGACATTCATTTAATAAAACCCTGATAGATTACATGCTTATTTCTCGCAGAGATTAAAAGATGTAATCAGGAGAAAATATTGCCGCGCAACTCAAGCTACTAAGTCATGGATTTACATCACAAATAAATCCACTCAAAACAAGATAAAATTGGAACCATACATTAAATGGGGTAAATTAAAAACATTGACAGATGCCTTTGCAATCAATGCAAACATTGAAACAACAGATTCCTCACAAGTCAGTGAAAAAATGTGGACAGACCATTCATCCATATTAATAGACACTGCCAAATTGACACTAGACTTGACAAGGGGAAGCAACAAATCATAAAAAGAACTATGGTGGTGCAAATCACTATAAATGAGAAAAAAGCCCTATATAAAATATGGTACAAATCCAAAAACCCAGATGACAAGATAAATTACAAAAAATCCAAGAGAACAACTATAAAGGCGGTAGCTAGGGCCAAAGCTATGGCATACGATGACATGTATGAAGAACTACATACCAAATAAGAGCAAAGTAAAATATACAGATAAGTCAAACAGCGAGAAAAGAATTCTAGGGATATAAACGGAGCTTCGAGAGTAATCAATAATAAAGATGGGATTATTATAAAGGAAAATGAAATAATAAATAGAAGAAAAGTATATTTCTCAACTTTAATCACCACATATTAGGCCAAGATGAACACTCCCCATGTCAAAACCTTATTCAATCAATAAGAGAACATTAAATAATCACATGCCTCAAGCATATGAAAAACAACAAAGCTAGGGGTCCAGATTATTCCAATAGAAAAAAGCACTAGGAGATAATAGAATACATCTCCTCACAAATTTATACAATAAAATACTGGGAAATGAAGAGATTCCTCAAAAATGAATGAAATATCTAGTTCCTATCTAATAAAGGGGATCCACACAATTGTTAAAATTACAAGGGAGTCACACTCTCTTAAACTCTACGAAAAAATAATAGAAAAAAAAGTTACGAGACATAATCCAAATAGTAGAGACTCAGTTTGGCTTTATGCCTGGAAGATCAACAACTTATGCAAGCAAATGAGTGAAAAATACAGGAAAAAGAACAAATTTCTCGATCTAGAAAGGGCCTTGGATAGAATCCAAAGAAGACTTATCTGGCACAAAAAGGTTCCCGAAAAATATATAAGGATAATACATGATATGTATAAGGGTCATACAACCATGGTCTGTAGCACAACTGGTACTTCAGCAGGCTTCACAATAGCCGAGAGAATTCATCAAGGGTCGACTCTCAGTTCACATCTCTTCATAACACTAATAGATGTATTAGAACAGTCTATACCACAAACGGTCCCGTGGAATATGATATTTGCAGATATACTGTGATACTTGCCGAATTCAAGGATGAAATGAAAGAAAAATTAGTAAGTTGGATAAATATCCTAGAAAGCACGGATTAAAAGTAAATAGGGAAAAGACTGAGTATTATGCAAACAAACGGCACAATAGAGAAAGAGATAAATAGTAAAATTAATCATGGGTGGTTAAAATGGAGATCTTTATCTGGAGTTCTCTTTGACAAAAAAATCCTACAAAAATTGAAGGAAAAAATTTACAGTTCCATAGTACAACCAACTATTCTATATAGTTCTGAAACATGGACAACCACGAGAGAAGTCTACAAACCATGGAGATGAGAATGCTGAGGATCATTGTTGGGGTAACAAGAGAGGATAAGGTGCGAAGTACAAGAATACTAGGAAGTATAAAGGTAGAGCCCATCAAGACTAAGATGGTAAACAGACTTAGGTGGTATGAGCACACAATGAGAAGGCCTATGAACTACATAGGAAATAAGGTTGAGAGTTTGGAAGTGATGGGCAAACGTAAAAGAGAAAGGCCAAAACTTCAATGGGGCCATAAATTTAGCTCCAATATGAAGAAATATAAATTAGATAAATGAGATAATTATGAATAACATAAAGAGGAGAGAGACATTGAAGGAGCTTAACACCAGAAAAGGTGAAAGCTAAAGAGAAATAAAAAATTATATATATAAATTATGTCCGAAAAAGAAAATTAAAATTAATAATGATCATTAAACAAAAAATTTCAAGAAAAAAAATCCCCCCCCCCCCAATATTTTTACAAATATTTGAAAATTAAATCCGTATAATTAATAAATTTTTTTATCCCAGAGATCAGTTTCCTTTCTAACCCTGTATCATAGTGACAGCGAATTAGCGGAGAGAATAAATGTATCATATTTTGTTTTACACTTAGCCGCGACGCCTAACTGTGAATGAAGCGTAATCCGGACAGGGAAAAGGGGATTTGGAGACGTTTTTACGAATATCTACCACAATCGAATGATTTATACCTGGCAACCAAAAAAATATTTTCTTTTGTATTAAAGAGAGAATATTGTTTTTTCGGAACTTATGATTTTCCCTTTTTCATAAACACATATATTTAATTGAATTAATCTTATTGTGATTAAATAGAAAGGTTGTTATAGCATAAATTCTTTTGTGATAAAAAAATTATAAAATCTAATTCAAACCGAAATAAAAATGATTAAATGTATTTTAAAAAATTGTTTTCAAAATTTTTTTTTAAAGAAAACATAATAAAAATATAACTATGTTTAGAGATTTCTTTGCTAATTCTGATTATTAACCATGTTATTTTTTCAAAAAAATGAATATATATATTTTCTATTAATTCTTTTTTTTTATCCCATAAAAATTCGCATATTTTATATATATAAAATTTGTAAATTTATTTTTTATATCTGATTAAAATTAATTTAAAACATTTTGCGGAAAATAGTCGATGATTTAGCATAAGTAGGCCCACTCTAACACAAAAAAATAAAATGTATGTCGATGAATATTACGTAATTCACTCAAGATACATAACGTATGGGATATTGTTGTCATCATTAATAGGGATAGGTTATTAAGAAATTTGGTATACTTTTGGTGTCTATTCAAGAATCAAAGGAAAATAAACCTAGATTCATCAACTGCACCTACCAACAGCAATAAAATTATACAAACCGGAAAATCGATTAATACAATAAATGCCAGGAGAGATGTTGTCCCAGGAAATACCAGACCCCATATATCTTCGTTATCAAAGAAAAGCAACATATATTTGTATATCGTGACTCTAGCCATCTCAGATTTTTTATTATGCCTCAACTCTATAGTAGTTCCCGTTATTTATTCAGGGTGTTATATTACATGCAGAAGATCTTATTTGTTTTCACTGTATTCATTAAAAGTAGCGTTCCCGTTAGGGGATATTTTTACACATTTCAGTTGCATATTAAGGGTATTCATATCTTTAGATCGCTTATGGGCATTAGAATTTCCTTTCACTTATAGAACAAAAATTTCCAACTCCTTTATCAAATACTTAATTATTCTAGGTTTTATCGTCACTTGTTTAATAACTATTCCTTACAGTTGGGGTTTCATTGTAGTCAAAGAAATAGATTTGAAACCCATACCGAATAACCAATTTTATATTAATAAGACATTGTCTGAATGTGAAAATTTAACATTATTCGATGAAGGTGTTAAATATGAGAGTGGAAAGAATTATTCAAATACTTGTCTTGATGACGACAAATATGAAATTACGTATCTTCATGCCCTTAATCCAAAGGCTCAATGGTTTTTAACATATAGAAAATGGATTACGTTTAGCTTGTTATTCATTCCATTCACGATAACAACAATAGCTAACGTTTTCATAATCAGAAAATGTTACAAAATTTCTCACAATAGAAGCAATTTGAAGAGAGGCAATAATAACAATAATAGTGTTTTGGCTAATAGAATGCTAAACATTTTAACCAAATGGTGTTTTAGAATTTCACACATAAATAGTCGAACTAATCATAATGAGGATAACATAAAAATTGCAAGAACAGACATGAAAAGGAGAGAATTTCAGATCACGATTTTAATGTCAGTCACAAATGTACATTTTTTATTTACCACCATCCCGATAACGCTCTATGTTTTTATGTATGGCTCGTTAATTGATCTATTTTCTAAATGGACTCAAGTGTGGTTTCAAAACGTAGCTTTTTTAAGTAAATATGGAAATAATGTGTTAAGTGTATATGTAACTTTATTTTTCGACCCCACCATGAAAGTTATATTTTGTGAGTTCTTAGAAGGTTTTGTTGCTATTTTAAAATAAAATAGTTTTCAAAAAACAACATAATATTAAATTCACATAAATATAAATTTAAATATTATAAAATAACTGCGATTGTTAAGTTTAAACCGCAAAATTGAGAGCTTTCTCGCGAAGTTTGTTTTTATGTTCTAGAGCCAAAATTCTATATTTTATTATTGTAATGGAGGTATTTTTTATTTGTTAATTGACTTATAAATTATGATTTAATCAAGTTTATTTTTTAAAAATGTTGTTTTCCAAATATATAATTATTATCAAATTTGATCAAATTAAATATTGTTTGTGATATTTCTTTCTAAACATATTGTCACATCTATATAATTATTTCAGAAATAATAATAAAATATTTAAAAATTAATTATAATTTTAAAGAAGAATACCTACCAAACCAAAGAAAATTGCTATTTTAAATAGAATTTATTTAGACTTCATTAAATATTTATAATGAATCTAGGATATTATTTTTTATATATATATTTAATTGTTTTATTTAAAACATATTTAAATATAAAAGGATTTGCACTATAAAAATATATATTTTCCTAAAATCAAATTTCTAAAGAGTAGGAGGGGGTTTATGGAAAGAAAATTAGCTTAAAATGATATTTAAAATAACTTGGCTAAATTTTTAAAGGGGGATTTTCCCTTAGTGAGGCCTATGTTTGTCATCAATAAAACCTCTCGTTTGAATGCTTTTTCTTAATTTGAAAACCTCACCCTCAAATATTCCCAAGATATCGGTAATTATGGAGGCGACAATTACATTTTAAAGTTGTTTATATTTTTTTAAGGATTTCAACTTGGCTCAAAGCAAAGTGGGTTAGACTCGGTTGAGACAAGTACCTGAAGAAAGAAAGAAAGAAAGAAAGAAAGAAAGAAAGAAAGAAAGAAAGAAAGAAAGAAAGAAAGAAAGAAAGAAAGAAAGAAATGAAATGAAATGCCTTATTAAATTGGCTAACGAAATACAAGAAAATCCAAAAGGAAGAGTTAGAATTTCTTCATTTACAAATCTTTTCGTTATAAGATTTAGTCATTTCGTTTTCCATTTTCTTAAAATAATGGTAGTCTAAAAATTATATAGCATTCGGTTAATTTAGATATTCGTGATATATGTTACGCTGAATTGATCTGGATCTATGAATTTAATAAACCATTATAGGGATCCCAGGCATAAGTAGAAGATGTAAATTGATGTCTTTCATCTAAAAATGAACATCTTTCCTAAGAATATCCCTCCTCTGTAACTCCCATATCTACGACTCATGGTCCCACTCGGCAAACATTCCACTTTTTCCCACATAACTACGTCATCGTCTAAATCAAGTTTAACTAAATATCTACATTCACGATATCGCTAAAAAGAGGGCAAACACTTACTGCCATCTTTTGGCGAGTGAAGTTTAAAAGTTTAGTAAATAAATCGAATAAATCAAGATTTATTAACAAAAACCATAATTTACAGATTTATTATGAACCAACTTTTCTCAATTATCACTAAATTTTCACACTTATAGAGAATAGATATATTTATGTAAATTTTAATTACTGATGTATTTATGAATAAAAAAAAAGAAATATAATTATTGTGACAAAAAAAAAAGGATTTTAAAAATAAACACACCCATTCAATAACCAATAAAATTATTTATTATAATATATATATAGCTAATAATTATTATAAATTTTGAGTAATAAGGCGCATTACTATAATCAATCCAAAGAAAATGTTATAATTATTTATAAGTACAAACGCGAAATATTCCAGCTGGAATACTCAGTCACGTTTATCATATTTTCTCTGTTCTCTAACACGTTGCGTTCTTTTTTACACGCTATGCCATAAAGTACAAAATAATTTTCGCTTCCAAAAATATTAGAGGACATGTCAGCGTAATAAATCGTCACGGTTAAGTTTGAACTGTCATGTTCAATAATTGCCTTAGATATTCGTTTATAAAAGAGTTTTAAAAAAGAAATATGATTATATGAATATATGAATAGTTTTGTAATAAAATAATAATTAATATTATATAATCGAATAAATATAACATGGCTTCATTACTCGATTATATCCTAGGTAAATTTGATATTCTGAGCCATTATTGATGTCTATAAGCACTAACGAGCAAATAGCGGACATATTATTGTTGACATTTATCACCATCTTA